TAAATAAAAATAGTTCTTAAATTTCCATAATGTAAATATGTATTATTAAATCTTCGTTAAATTTTCTCAATTAATTTACGCTCAATTACTTAAAAGAAAATAACAATAAGAAAAAGGAGAAAGGAAGAAAAGAAAAAAAGAAGGATTTTTGAGAAAGAATTTAATGTTTAGAATTTACATGTTTTCGAAAATTTGTTTTGTAACAAATTGTCTCATTTAATTTCTCAGGTTCTCATATTCCGTATGTAACTATCAATAATGATTGATGTCATTAGCAGCGAAAAGCATTGTGCCAGTTTTACGCTCTTACGGACAACCATAAGCTGATTAGCTACCGCTTCAAGCTGTTAAAGATATATAATAACACTATTAAGAAGAAATAATACGAAGAAAAATTAATTAAAAAATTTTTATTTAACATATAAGATATAATATAATTTATTAATAGATAGAAAATAGACTTTGGATATATTTTCATTAAATATTAATACATTCTTTAGGAACACTTTATTATTAATTCTTTAACTTTTTATTTTAATACATTTTTTGTGTTATAAAATTATCGATTTCAAAACTATCGATTTCAGAAATATTTTGCATTAAAGACAGTTAATTAAATCAATGATTCAACAATATCCTAAAAAATCAATAACTATGTTATGCTTTTGTTTTAATAATCAAGATCTTTGTTTCAATTATACAATAATATATTGATATATTATATAGTATATTGATATATATTTCGAATGAAAGTGGTTGGCATGGTTTAAAGGGGGACACATGATGGAAATGTGGACTTGACTTTGAGTGACTTTGTCAAAATCAGGTCAAGGTCATTAATGTTTTTTTAAGTGGAAACCCTTATTTTTTTATTACATATTAGTGCTTATCTCGAGAGCTTTCCAAAACACTATAATAAAGTTACTTTTTGTTAAGTTATAAGGCAAGATCACTGATTCGGCCAACTAATAATAAGTAATAATTAATTAATATTGTTTCCATTAAGTTTTAGAAAAATAATAATTTAATATTTTAATTTATTACTTTTCCAGCAAAAAATTAATTGTTTATATTAGGTGTACAAAAAAGTTCTGAGTTTTTTTTTTGTAAAATTCAATCTTTATTCAAAAACAAAAATATTAATCAGCGAAATATTCCTCGTTTGCATCAACGACCTTTTGCCATCTTTCGGATAGCTTGCGAATTCCTTAACGATCTAAACACGTTATTTGCGATAAATATCATCACATGCCTCGGTAGTCGAAAGGATAAGATGCCTGCCCGGTAAGCAGGAGATCCAGGTTCGATTCCTGGCTGAGGTGATATTTTTTCGCAAAATAATTACGAGTTTTTCACGACTGGTTCGTGGTCGGGCCCCGCCGTGACGCACACCCTCCCTTCTTATTCGGGGGCTCGAGCCATGCTTGATGCAATCTCTCCTGTCGTGCTCCAGGAGGATTATTTGTATATTTGCCAATGGCGTTGGAGGGTGTCGCCGCTGCAGTCCGACCTGCATCC